AACAGTATGAAGCCATGACTGCCCAAGTTAGAAAATATTTTCAGATGACCTTATTGTTGGTTATTTTTAAAGTATCTTTAATAAAACCCTAAACCAGCTAGGCGGTTCTATTTTCATAAATTCAGTTATTTGACATATATCTTTAGAGAACTCTGTAAAGTCATTAATCTTCCACTTTAAAATTATGATACAGTCACTACCAACTCTAAGCATTTTGAAAACGAGGAGAATTTATCGAGAATGACTCACTTACCTGCAGTTAGCTCTGGGAAATCTGTGAACATCATGGAATCAGCTCCTTTGTATGAATGGGCTGTGCAACTGCACAGTTTTCTCTTTGAGGTGCTTGAAATTAGACACTAGGCATAGAGGCAGGAGGCTACAGCCACAGCGCTGTGGGCAGAGAGGCCTACTGTATTTGTCAGGGTTCTCTAGAGTAACAGAACTTATAGAACGAATAGCTCTCTCTCTCTCTAAAGATCTACCCTGTAACATTCATGCTATCCTTGCAGGCCCAGAACCACATTCCATAAAGTACTTAGCAACTGCTCTTTGAGTGGGTTAGGTCAAGGATGGGCTTCTGTTATACCAGCATATCAAAGGTTAAGCTGCCCTAATCTGGTTTCCTTCACACTGTTTTCAAAATAACAACAACAACAAAACAACAACAATGCCTTCTAATATTGTCAGAACATAATGTCTTCTTCAAAGGTGTTTGCTCTTTGGAGCCTGAATGTCATGCCTTGGGCAGCATTGTTTTACTGTGGCTAATCAAGACAGTGTGGGTTCTTGATTCTCATGCCAGCATCTTCAAGACTCACAGGCTTACACATTAGGATATAGATTTCTTTGGATCAAGAAGGTGTTGTGGCTTATCAAGATTTGCCATAATATTTTACCACAGAGAGGGCTCAGAAAACCAGTAACTTACACATCCAGTGCATATTTATTGAGGATCTCTTATGACAATAAATCCCATGAAGGCTCTAAAAATAAAGCAGATGTGGGTGCCGCCCTCTAACAATTCACATGATGCTTCAGGTAATCGGACATAGTTCCGTAAGCAATTATACATGGAGCAGATAATGACTCATGCAAAATCAAAACAAAACTTACAAGAGGAAGTGATCACCTTTAAAATGTGTACCTTGTAAGCCAAGCTGAGCAACCCAGGCCTGTTACCCTAGCTACCCAGGAGGTTGAGGTGGGAGCTACCAGATCAAGTTCAAAACCAGCCTAGGAAAAGGAGCAATACCTTGTCTGTCTAGACATGTATGTGAAAGCATATGTGCATGTATATACATACATATACACACACACACATTGTTAGGTACGTAGTTCCACGGTGCACCACATAACTACCATGGGAACACAAGTTGTGTTCAATCTTTAGCATCCCGCCCTCCTAATTTTTTTTTTTAATCCTTGACTTCATATTGTATCACAATACCCCATGTATATCTTATCTGTGCGAAACAATTGGGATGTGATTAAAAAAATGCTACGGAAAAATGAAAAATAGCCGTCAAGCTGTAGCATTTTTCTGTTACTGAAAAAGCTGTCAAGCTTCAGTAACACCATCCGTGTTACTGGGTATCCCTTTTCGACGGGGCTGTCCGGTTGCTTCGAACAGGGTAGTAACTGATAAATGTCTGGTGGGCAGCAGCTTCAGCCAGGTTTACTATCCACTGCCTTTTCATTATTGACTGTGTGGAATGCATCAAACTGCTGCAGAAGGCAGCCAGGGCAAGAGCGCTGGCACTCTGCTCAGCTCTGCTGTTCAGATTCTCTTCAAGGTACGTGTACAGCCCTGTGGGTGGGGCCAATTTCATTACCACTAGTTCATAGACAGGCAAACTAAGCTTAGGAAGACCAACGGACTTGCCTAAGGCCCCAGGTAGTAACTGAGTGAGGCTGGGTGCTTGAAGTTATACACTAGGCATATAAGCTGGAAGCGTTTTCTTTCAGGTTACTAAAACCACACCTTTGTGGGCAGAGAAGCCTGCTGTATCAGTCAGGGTTCTCTAGAGTAACAGAGCTTACAGAATGAATATCTCTCTTTCTCTCTCTATAATCTACCTATGTATGTATTTAAAGGGGACATATGGGAATTGCTTAGAGGCTGCAGTCCAGCTAATCCCAAAATGGCTGGCTAGGAATAGAAATTTCCAGAGTCCAGTAGTTGCTCAGTGTGGACTCAGTGCTAGGTGTCTCATCTAGCCTTCAGTATATCCTGGAATCCCAAAGCAGTAGGCTCCAATGTCAGTTAAAGAATGGACATGACAGTAATGCAGGAGCAAGTAGATAAAGAGCAAAAGCTTCCTGTTTCTGTGTCCTTATATAAACTTCTGGCATAAAGTGTGGTCCAGATTAGAGGTGTGTCTTCCTGCTCTGGAAGTGAGTGTCTTCCTACCTCAAAGGTCTGGACCAGAAGTAGATTCACCCACTTCAAACAAAGCAAAAATTCTTCCACACTTGTGCCCTCCATTTCTGGATGGTAGCTGATTCCAGATGTAGTCAAGTCAACAACCAATAACAGACATCACACATACTTAGATTAAATAGCATTAACAATATTTACGTTATCAACCAATATAAATAAACTGGTTAAATGAGACTGGTCTTCACACTTGAACAAATACATCTTTACCAGATCCTGTATGGCCAGGTGCTGAGAATTCTTGGATTCCCTCAAGGGCTAGGCTAGAAGAATCAGAACACCGGGGACCCCAACTGTCCCGTCTCCTAGCATTCAAGAGAGCTCACAGCACCGTAATAAAGTGCACAGCCCAATAAAGAATAATTCTTTGTGGATATGGGTGAGTTAGGAGTCCTCAGAATATCCTGGAGATGGGTTTGGCATCACACCGGAAGGTACTTCAGAGTCCCAATCCATTGGAGCAGAAGTCTAGAAGGGAAAGCAAAGCCTGGTCACATAGAGGCTCCTCCTACTTTGCCTTAGAAGTTCATCTGATTTCATTGTCACTAAACTCCCCTTGAGAAGAAAAGCTGGGGGTTATCTTGTGGGAAAGTCCTGCTAGCGCTTTGACTGCTCTACAATCAAATACGCCTAGGTTGTAATCCTGGCTTTGCCACTCTTAGCCAAGCTACTGAACGCCTGGGAGCCTTAGTTTCTTCATCTTTAAAATGGGCGTAAAAGCAATTATTGTTGCGAGGGGTAATTGAGATAATGCATGCAAAATACTTGGCAGACATCAAACACTGGCAGAATGTTGGCAGGTTCCTACCCAGCTGTATTAAAGTTTGTTTCAGTGATAATTCTCTGAGGAATTATATAAGCATAATTATATCGAAGCAGTCGGTAGTCGACCATGAAAACCCTTTCTCCGCTAAATGGCAGAGCCAAGGCAGAGCGAGCACCAGCACCTCACCGAGATACAGGGTTATACTGAGGTCCTGCCTGACTCTGCTGGCTGGAACTTGACCCATGCGGACACCCACTTAGCGCCTGCAGCCGGGAGTCTGGAGCAGGTTCACTTGCAAACTGCCCTGACTTGGAACCAAAAGCAACTATCTACACACCACCCGGTTCTCCCCGCAGTGAGGACGATTAAAGCAGAGGATAGTGGCAGCAGATAGGAAGGCTGGCCACTGAGCGCTGGTTTACTTGACACAAACCCCATCTCCACCCCTCTGCACCCCCAGGCTCCCGCTGTCAGGGCAGTGCGCTAACAGGTCTCGACGTCTCTCTAAGCAAGGAACTAGAAAGATTCCGGACAAGTCCAGGCGTCACCTCGCATCCCAGTGCAACTGAGCGGAGCGGAGCCAAGTCCTGCGACTGCCCGCCCCACTAAGCAGAGCTTGGGAAGAGGCGAGCCTGGGCAGCCCCACCTCATCCGCTGCCAAGAGTTCCTGGTAGCTCATGGCTCATTCAGCCCTCTCCCTGCAAAGATCGTTAGAAACTTTAGGGTTTTTGCAGACGGTGGGGAGCAGCAATGAGCCCTAACTGTTCCCTTTAAGGGACGGTCGTGACTGGGCTTTAAGAAGACAGGCTACCTCCAGAACACCAACAAAGGACTATATTTAGTTTGAAGCACTCCGCCTAAATTCCTTCTTTTCCCTTCTCAGCTTCAGAGCCACAGGCCCCGGCAGTGGGTGGAAGGGGGCGGGGAGCAGTGCAGAAGGAACAGCTGGGCCTCCGCCTCTCCACTCGATCTCTATAAATAACCAATCCTGAGCGGAGGCGACTTTCCAGCCAATGAAGCTGTCTAAAGTGACAAAACCTCGGCAACAGCCAATGGGAACACATTTGGGGGTGTGAGACTCGCGTCCTGGGGCCAATGAGTTGGGAGTCTGGGAGAGGTAATTCGAGCTGGCGTGTGGGTGTGCGGTGCGAAACCTTCCTACTTGCAAGCCCCAAAACCTGCTTACCAGACTGAGCATGCCCTGACTAGGTGCGGGAGCTGGGGGGGCCTTCCGTGGGGCTGGATCCACTAGCCAGGTTTTGCCTCCAGCCAATGGGGAGGTCGGACGACCCGGCGAAGCCTGCCCCGAAGGCTGCGGCGCCCCACTAATTCCCCGTAGTGGGTACCAGTCCCTACGGGGACTCAGGCCGAGTTCTTAGGCGGGAAGTGGCGCGGGGACACCATGCCAAGCGAGGGGCACGCAGCTCTGCTACCTTCCCCGGCCTGGAAAATGCCCTGCAGGTGTACGGCCCTGAGCTGCGCCCACCGGTCCGGGCTCGGGGACAGGTGTCTATCCTCTTCTAACAGCGCAAACCGACGGGAAGGTCACAGTCAGCTGCTGCCCCGGATGCGCCCACAGGGGGCCCTCAGAGGCACGAAGTGGGTAGCTTCGGTTTGGAGCTTTCCACCTACAGGACCATCCCGTTCCAAGATTCGCGCCGCCCCGCCCCTCCCCGCCCCCTCCCCGCTGGCCACACCCTCCGCCACGCCTCCTCCCGGCGCTGCGGAAAAGCAGGAGCGGGACTCGGGCGGGGCTCCGCGGGCGGCGCACTGGGCATGCTCGGCTGGGCGGAGGGCCGGGCTGCGCGCGGCGAGTAGGAAGCCCTCGCCCAGCGGAGGCTGCGGGAGAGAGAGAGGGAGAGTGATGGGCCGCGGAGCTGGGCGCACGTTCTGCGGGGACTCATGCCACGCGTGTCCCGGCCGGACGCGCAATTAGCAGCCGCCTCTGCAAGCAGCCGCCGCCGCCTCCCGGCCCCCCCAGGCTGCCGTGGCGAGGAGCTCCAGCCGTTGTCTCGCTCCGGCTGCGCGCATTGTCCTCAGGGTCCTCCACCAGGGCTGCTGCGGGGCCCGGGACCCGCGCCTCCGGGACGCGCTCCCGCCGCCGGTCGGCCGGGCGGGGGCCTCTGCTAGCCCTTTGGTGAGCCCGTGCGCCTGGGCCACTGTCGCCGGCGTTGTTCCTGAGGAGTTGAGGAAGGGGAGAAGTCCACCCGTCCATCCCAGCCTCCCCCGGCGCACAGCCCCGACGGGGCCGCTGCCAGCGCGACGAGGGCGCCGACGGAGCCATGAGAGAGTACAAAGTGGTGGTGCTGGGCTCGGGCGGCGTGGGCAAGTCCGCGCTCACCGTGCAGTTCGTGACAGGTTCCTTCATCGAGAAGTACGACCCGACCATCGAGGACTTTTACCGCAAGGAGATCGAGGTAGACTCGTCGCCGTCGGTGCTGGAGATTCTGGACACCGCGGGCACCGAGCAGTTCGCGTCCATGCGGGACCTGTACATCAAGAATGGCCAGGGCTTCATCCTCGTCTACAGCCTGGTCAACCAGCAGAGCTTCCAGGACATCAAGCCCATGCGGGACCAGATCATCCGAGTGAAGCGGTACGAGCGCGTACCGATGATCCTGGTGGGCAACAAGGTGGACTTGGAGGGCGAGCGTGAGGTCTCCTACGGCGAGGGCAAGGCCCTAGCCGAGGAGTGGAACTGCCCCTTCATGGAGACATCGGCCAAAAACAAAGCCTCAGTGGATGAGCTGTTCGCAGAGATCGTGAGGCAGATGAACTACGCGGCACAGCCCAACGGCGACGAGGGCTGCTGCTCGGCCTGCGTGATCCTGTGAGGCGCCGGCGGCAGCCGGGCGCTGGCCACGCTCTGTGCACAAAGCCAAACGCACCCGATTCTCTTAATGTGATTGTCTTCTTGCTTTGAGATTGGAGACGACTTTGTATTGGCCGGGATGTCCGAGCAACCTGGCTGACTTGTGTGGCCAGCATCCCAGCCTTCAGCCGGGGTCCGAGGGGGTGTTCGTTGCTGACCATCCGAGACCCTGATGGAAATGTGGCTCTATACAGCGTGTACGTTCCTCATTGATTTCGGTTCATGCATATTTCCCCGTTTAAGTAGCCATTAAGGCGCTGTATTGGCTGCTTGACACCGGCAAGCAAAAGTTTCAAGCCTGAAAAAAAAAAAAAAAATGGGGGTGGGGAGGTGGAGGAAGTGGAGAGGAAGGAGGAGGCAGTGGGGGAGGGTTCCCCTCAAACAACTGTTAATAGTTCCAAGTTCTAAATACCAGGAAAGAGGTCCAAGAAAACCATATGAAGGAGCCAGAGGAGGGGAAGAAACTTGTTTCTTTTTTTTTTTTCCCTTGTTTTCCAGGATTATTTGGAAATTAAGACCGGGGGTTCCTTTTCTGCCAGCTTGGAAGGGCAACCCAGGGACTGATTACGATTCTGAGGATGTCTATGCAAAGTTGGGTTCTTGTTACAGTGTATCCAATCTGAAGTATTGCACATGTGAACTGGGACTGTTAACACTGATGCCAATACAGTGTGGGGTGCCAGGAAGTGTCTGCTGATATTTGTGGGAAAAAAAAAAATCTATTTTGATTACCTACTGTATCAAAGGGGAGTCTGGGGGAGAATGGTAGTATTTTTTTTTTAAATCAGCTGTGAAAAAAATGTTACAGATCTGCACATTTTTGTGTGTGCTGTTGTGTGTGTGTATGTGTGTGTGTGTGTGTTTAAGTATAGCTTTTTTTTGTGGTTGGCAGTGACAGATTTTGCTGACTAGCTTTTAAAAACACAATACAAAGACTTTGTAAATGTGATTCAGGGCCCCCAGCACCCCTGTGTCTGCAGAGTGCCTTCAAGCTCAGCTGTTCCAGCCGGTGCCAACCTGTGAATTCCCACCATATCCCAGAATCTGCTGTCCTGCTGTCTCCAAAACCACTTTAAGTATCTTCCTGAAAGAGCCAGGACAATAGGACCTGTTATTCCATGAATTGCTTCATTGATTTTTAGCTTTTTAAATATTAAGCCCGTGTCTTGAATTCTTTCCCCTTTCTGCATTTTGTTCAAATTTCAGGATTTAGCCTCTCTCTCTCTCTGTGTGTGTGTTATTTTCAAAGTGTCTCTGGTTATATGTTACAGGATGTTCCTCCAAAAGCAAAAGAGCAAAATTTTATTGTTGTGATGTACGGAGAAAATTCTAACAAGTTGTAACTTTTAATTCCACTCATTTAGTCACTGTCTCTTCATTTTAAGACTTTTAATACAATGTCATTTTTAAAGAAAACCCAAACTATTTGTGTTTTTGTGTTTCATATTCAGTTATTCATACTATCCGTGATAATGGTGCCAGGCGGAAGTAGATAGGGCCAGATACATGTTGCCTTCTGGAGTTATTTGTCAAATTTTAAGATAGAATTATTTCTGTGACAAATTGGATGACAATGTTTTTCAAGTTTTTAAAAACAGAGAAGTGTCAAAGCCTAAGGGTGTATGAGCATACCTTCTGATTCCCAGGATGAGGAAGTGTATTGATTCTGCTCTGCTGAAGAAGAGCAGTGAACTTCTGTTGGCAGCAAAGGGTCAAAGCCCACGTTGTCAACACCCTCTTACGTCTGAGAAAGTAACATGGACCTGGCAGAATAGGGGGTACTTTCTACCTGTCTTTGTTTTGTCTCTTTATGTCACATGCTGAGTAAGAAGTGTTCTTAACTTTGATCTCACACACAGTGTATTTGGCAGTGTATGCATTATCCCAGCCATTATTTCAGCCCTTCCAAAGTTTTTATTTGGAACCAAATTATTAGTTTGAAAAGAAAAAAAATAAATAAATAAACTATATAAAGAGGGTTTCCTTGCTCTCCTTAGTTTGTGGCCCATATTTGACCACAAAAGTTGTTTATTTAAAAATTAGGAGACAGTGTGTGTTGTTACTTTTTATTTGTATTTTTCTTGGGCTCTCTAGTACAATAATCTTTACAGAATAACAAAGTATAAGATATTGTACCATAGGTTCATGAGGCAAAGCTAAAGTCTGAAGAGTTTTAACTAAGGAATTTACTCCTTTCACAAAGCCAAAAGAAATCGCAGGTTTCTTTAAAGCTATATTAATATATCTTGCCTTAATTTTTTTTTTGTCTCCAACCAGGTTTCATCTCACCATTCCAGTGGGGAGGAAGAACAGTTTTTGCCTGTACTAGCCTTTTTTTTTTTTTTTTCCAGTTCTCCATTAGTATCAGTCACAATTGGCGTTTTCTAAGTATAAAAATGAAAACTGCTCAAAATAATATTTTTAAAAGAATTCATTCCTACATTTGAATAAATGTAGTTGCTTGAGCATATTCTAGTGTTGCACATTCTGAAGATGTGTCAAGCACTGTTGGAAGGTTTTTAAGTGTGTTTAGTGACCCTCATTTGTCATTATTTGGAAGGCTTTGAACAAACGTGTTGCCAACTCTAAAGCTCATAAGAAATGTACGTACTCCTTATAGAAAATGTTTGACAGTGGAGAGTGAAATAGGTTGCTGGTGCATTAATCACCTCCACAGAAGGGTTCCAAGACGCCATGAAAGGCAGGACAGGTATTTAAAACATGTTTCTACTGAGTACTGTAAAATAAATGCTTTTGGATTATAAAATTAAAGTTGCTGCAGGAAAATGGAGCTCTGAGTTGTTTGGCTTTCGCCTGTTATTTTCATGGCAAAATAGAAATTTGCAGGTCTTTTTATTTATTCTTTCCTTAAGAAGATAATGTTTTTAAGTATGACAGTTTATTTGGCTAGGAAGAATCTCATTTAGTGTCCTGGTGTGAAGTGATAAAAGCATTTGTTTCAGTGAAAAAGTTGGGCTGGTTTAACTGCTTTAGGAAGTGAGTCAGGGAGGGTGGAGTTTGTTGTAAGGTAACCTCACCTGAAAAACAGAAGTCAGGAGGGAGAGGTGCGTCTTGAGGGGGTGAGAACTGACTCTTAAACTTGACCCCTGCTCTCTGTCTATCTTTTTTTTTTTTTTTTTTTTTTAACAATTTTTCCTTTTGGTCCCTGACAGCCAGTCCAGTTTTCTGTCACTTCAAAGCATTATTTTTCTTCATTTGTAAATGCCTCAGGAAAGCTAAAGGTGTCTGCTCCAGTCTCACACTTTGATCTTCAGGTCAAACAGTTTCCATCCTCACTGTTAAGGTAGACTTCAGTCAGTCATATTGAGAAACCAGATCTATTTGAAGTTAGTCGTTAGATGCCAAAGGCTTGCTATACCCTGAGTACTGCATATTTCCACAGGGTGAAAATCCCAAAGGCTTCCTTTGCTTGAACTGTTTGGGTAGCTTTGTTATCACTCTCCCTTAAGGATGATGGAAAGTGAGAGAAAGCTATTTGAAGCAGGAGTTTGGGAAAATAGATGTGAAATGCCTGTGCTGTTATCTGTCATAAAAATATTCTGCTCTATAAATTCAAACAAGGTTGAATTTGGAGATGTCCAGTGTTTGTTAAAATAATGCTTGTCAGTGCCTGCTTAATGGGGGAAAGCTTTCTAATATAAAATTTTTCTAGGAAATGTTACAGGTCTAATCAAGAGTTTTTTGTTCTTGATTGTGGTATTTTATTCAAACTACAAAAATGATTGAATGCCTTTATTTGACATGACACCAGTAAGTGAAGCATTTGATTTCTTCATGGTAGCATTTTGGTGATTTGAGTCAATAAGCGTCAGCCATTGCTGAGGTTCTCAAACTAAACTTCATATCAGAATCACCTGCAGGTTAAAACAATACGCACTGCTGCCTCCTAATTTTTCTTTTTCAGTGAATCTGGGGTGGTTTCTCGGATTTCAGGAGATAGTAATGTTGCTGGTCCAGGGACTATCCTTTGAGGCTCAAAGATCAACTCCCAGCTCTAAATGTACCTCAAACTAAGATCTTCCTAGAAATGTAGAGACTGCAATCCAGGGGCTGTGTTTTCATTTCTGCTGTGATGATAAATGGTTTCCACAGACATTTGCTGAAGAGGACATACACCATTGAAAATGGTGGTTAGGTTGCCATGTGTGGGCAGAGCCTTGGTAAACTTCACACAATTATGCGAACAATGTTGGCTGTGGTCTTCGGTGTTAAATCAGAAGCAGACTTTGAGAAAAGGATTTCATCAGAGTCAACTTCCTATCCCTACTCTTACAAAAGAAAAAAACACAAATACCTTTAGCTAAGAGCACTTTAAAATATTTACGTCCTCTTTATTAAAAGGCAAAGGCTTTAGTTTTTCATGTTTCCAAGCAAGAACTCTGAAAATAAAGTGAATTTCAATATTCAGGTCACAGTGTACACAGGTGTGTCTTCTTAGACTCCCAGGCGTTAGTTAACTCTGTCTGAAGTTACACTGCTTTCCATTCTGGGTAAATACACACCACAAAACTGTCATACACTGTGTTTTCTTATGCATCTTAATGCCCAAGGCTGTTTCCAACACCCTGCTTTAATTCCACGTCTCCACTTGCGGTGAAGTCCAATGACAACCAGAGAAGTTGCTTTTTCACCGTTGTCTCTTACAAAGTGGAGAGGGTAAGTGCAGCTGTTAGAAGACTGAAGTTGGCTGAGGAGAAGGGACCTTAGCAAATCTGCTTTATTCACTTTTAATGTGTTCTGAGCTTGGGTTATTTCCTTGCTTTTGCCATAATTAATACTAATAACAAGAAATATTTTGATGAAAATGTTTTGCCCTACCCCTTATTGCTGTTACTGTCATTTTCATACACATCACTCATCCAGGCAAATTAGAAACTATCTGCATAGAAGCTAAAAAATGACTGAAACATTGACTTTTGTTCCAGCTACCCATTATAGATCCATCAGGAGTCTCTAGAGTAGCATCTCCTATTCCAATTATACATACAATGAAAGATTATTTTAAAGTTTGATCTATCTGATAAATATTTTATTTTGATCCTAGTCTAAATGTCATTTCAAGCAGTTGCAAACATTCATATGTTCTGTTTAGATATCTGTAACAGTTGTAGAAGGCTCCATAGTCAAAAACATACTGCTAGTGACAGCAATGAAGGGATGAATGAAGCGCTGTGATATTTTTATACGGGCCTTCACTTTATGCTTCTTTGCATTAGCGTTAATTTGGAATATTAATATTTGACTGTTGAACTGTTTAAAATTGGAGGTTGTATTTATTTTAGAATGATACATTTTTAAAGTATACCGCACTACAGAGATATTTTATCTTGTCTAAGAAAATCCAAACTAGTCTAGTCTCACAGGTTAGTACTCATTAGAGGAGAACTTTGTTATTTTGAGGAAAAGAATGAATAGTGGAGTGACAAGTGCCAAAGCCTTAATTAATGAAATATTTTGTTCTGCAAAACAGAGATGGCTAACTAGTAGAGAAAGGTAAAACACAAATGACCTTACTGTATTTGGAATGCTATCGATCTGCTCTGTAAATTGGAGGGAACAGCTCTATTTCTCTCATTTAGGTTAATGAAACTTAATCTTTCTAAGATGAATTATCTTGTAAGATTATGTGAGGTTAAAATTTTCAGAGGCTTAAAAATGTACGATCCTTTTATTTGTGGTAACAGAAAAATTTCATAGGCAGAATATTTTTTTAATAGAAAAGAGAAAGATTATTGATGCTTTGGAAATGCAAGTACCCAACAAAAGGTTAGAGATTGTTATTTGGTTGCTAAGAATAGATTTGCAGTGCAGTTGGTAAACATTGCTGATACAAATTCATCCATTATTCAAGAAACATTTACTGAGTGGCTAGTATTCACTGCCATGTCAGAACCAATGCTTATTGGGTAAGTTTTTAACCTAAACAAAAACAGATTTTACCTCCCTTTACTATCAGCTGCAAAATAGCAGCTACCAAACAAGAACAGCTTATAGAAAAGCGCATCTACGTGTACCAGCAGTTAAAATGTTGTATGTCCATGTGGTAGGCAAACATGATAAATTTACAGAAAAGTGGACCTTTCTCTCAGAAAGACAAGTGAAAAATGTAAATAAAAATGGGTCCCATGAAGCTTAAGCAATGGATAGTTTTTTATGTAATGCTGTGTAATATGACTCTCAGCACTTCATGTCTTTTCTTTTTTATGTGGGCATTTCCTTTTTTGTGAGATGATTAGCTAAAATTGAGTACTTGGAAATAGGACATTATTTTGCTTTTATGTGTTCATGTCAGAGGGAAGAGAGAAAATGCAAAAATAAGATGAAATAGGAAAGGACAATTTTGTACCCTCAAAGAAAGGCAGAGACTCCTAGGATTCTTCATGTAAAGAAGACATAGGCCT